CACCCACACCTTCAACTAATTTTAACTGTAATACTAATAATAATGATCTTTACTTTATTTAAGAATTAATTCTATCATTAATCGATGATATTCTTCAACAAATTCCGCCAAAGAAAGATTTTAATTTATTAAAACAAAAATTTCAACAACGTGTAACACCATTAACAATTGTTCTTTTACAAGAAATTCAACGATTTAATTTACTTACATCTATTATGTGGAAATCTATGAATGAATTAAAACAAGCATTAAATGGTCAAATTAATTTTTCAATTCAACTTGATGAAATTAATAAAGATTTATATCATGGACAAATACCTACATTATGGAAATCATATACACCACAAACAAAAAAATCACTTGCAAATTGGATTGAACAATTTCGACAACGTAATCAACAATATGATAAATGGATACAAGATGGTAAAAATTATTTCTTTAATTTATAATGTATCAAATCTTGTTTTAGGTGAATTAAAAGTTATTAATCTAAGTGGTTTACATGTACCTGAATCTTATCTAGCTGCAATTATGCAAATAGCAGCACGAAAAAATCAATGGTCTTTAGATCGAACAACATTCTATACATATGTAACAAAATGGCTAAATATAAGTTAGACTAAATTTTTTTATTTCAAAATAAAATAAAATTTTTTAGATGATATCGATGAACCTATACAAAATATATGCTTAATCGAAGGTTTATATTTAGAAGGTGCTCGATGGGATATAGAAAATAATTGCTTAATTGAACAAACAAATAAACAACTTATTCAAATGATGCCATTAATTAAAATTATACCAATTGAAACAAATCGAATTAATACGAATAATTATTTAGCAACACCAGTTTATATAACAAGTGATCGTCGAAATGCTATGGGCATAGGTTTTGTTTTTGAAGCTAGTCTTTATACAAAAAAAGATCTTTCACATTGGATACTCAATGGTGTTTGTTTATTATTAAATACAGATTCATGATATTTAATTAATTGAACTCATTAGAATTTCATTTTAAAAATAAATATTGTATTTGTTATTGACTTCTCAGATAAGAAAGATAATCGCTATTCATCTAAGTCCTATGTTCAAATCTTCCGAAACTGATTTCAACAGGACTCTTCATTGTGCACAGGATGATTGAATCACAATTGAATTTTATATTACATTATTTATAGTCTGTAGAATTTCTTACATTTCAGACAACTATTGTGGTTGTTAGTAGTTCCTCTAATTGTATCGTATACTCAGATATAGTTTTGTTCGTTGACCGGAAGTAGACGTAAGAAATATATAATGATTTTAACAGCAACTTTAAATTTCATTTCATTAAAATTTTATTTGAATTTTAAAGGTATGTATAACGCGTTTCGATATATCAAATATCATTATCAAGACACGTGAAACACGAGAAAACAAAAAATTATTTTATATATATATATAAGTACATGAGTCATGAGAATTTACTGGTTTTTTCCTTCAAGAAAGAAGGAGAAAACACCATTATTAACTGTAAATAGTTAAATATGCGCATATTTAACTATTGTCCCAGTCCGTGGTCTATCATAGATCACTGTTTTAATCTTAACTGTTGGTTCAGAATACTGCATGCCATCGGAAAAGATAACAAGGGGGGCAGAGGAAATCGTTCGGTTTAAATTGGGTTTTTGATGTAGAATTTGCAACGATTTTCGGATTAGCAAATGATCTTCCAGTTTTGTCAATCAATGGTGTGGTTCACGTCTAACTGATGTTTGTATAATGCTGATTTCATTAGTTGTTCTTCATTGCCAACTTTAGGTTCATCATTCCCAATTTCCTTATTAATTAAGTAATTCACTTTGGGTTTCTTTTGAAAACGATCAGATCGTCTTAACTGAGGATCAATTGGTGTTTGAGTGGTTAATTTGGGTGAGGGTGTTGGCTTTGGTTTTTGTGGTGCACCGTGCTCGTGGTGACGTCTCAAAGCTTGTCTATTTGTTTTTCCTATGTAACTGTCGTTACATTCAGAGCATGATATTAGATAAACAATATTTGATTGACTATCTTTCTCTGTTTGGTCTTTTTGTGGAAAGAACTTTGTTATTGATGGTGGGGATCTGGGGTGGGTGGGTGTGGATAGAATACAAATAAAAACGCCGACTCCCACCCATATCTTCAACCTTACCTACACCTTCACCCACACCTTTCCATACCGTTCATGAATTTTTTCTTTCTTGTCGATCTCATATGTGGTGTTATATGTCAGGCGATTTACTTTCATCTCGTTCGTATGATTCCTTGTTGGATATATCCGAACTAGGGGTGATCCACCACTCTATATATAGCATGTGTCTTTATACGAATAAACAGAGATATACAGGATATTCATATTCATCTTCACAAGTATTTAAATTAAAAAAGGAATTTTTTTCCCATATTTACTGCGAAGTAAAAAGAAATATCTTAAACATTAACTTCAATATTTAACAAAACAGAAAAACACAAAATCAAAAATTTATAAGATGATTGAGGCAATGAAAACAAAAATTTGAATCTATTGAACAAACAAACAATTGAAGTGGATTAATTGGATATTAGCAACACGCATATAATAACACTATATTGTTGTCTAATAATCATTAAATAACATAAATAGAAATTAGAACGACATTTTCGATCGTTTATTTAAGCTGCCAGTTGATTGAGAATCTTGTAACATGCCATCTAGATAAAAAATAATATAGATCAACCCAGGTCGAACAATCCGGCACGGAAACGGCCGGTTCCGTAGTATTCCGAAGATTTCATGGAAGCAGTATTCCCGTTGAACGTATCTATTAAAAATCGTGTTGTGTTGAATATGTAAATTTAATGTGAGATGTAAAGCATTGCAAAATAGAAACGTTACGTAATAGAAGTATAAATATTTTTCAAATGGTAGGTTTATGTATGGCATTTAGAAGACATTATTTTGTGTATTTATTATAGACAAATTTATACAAGTAACGCTCGTCTGTGGACTCGCTCACCTCTTTCTCGTAGAAATCTTGTTTTATAATGTCACTGAGGTTTTTCTTATACAATATGTAAAAAAATGACTTCAGGTTCACGCTTCTCGACCCCGAAAACCCTTCGCCCAACCCTTAGAAAATTTTTTTTTGTAAAAAACGGTCCTTTGTCTAAAATATACTTTTTTTAAAAAAAAATTTAAAAAACCAACATCAGATTCGAAGTCTGCGCGTCGAAATACCTATAGAAATGTCTTTTCCAAAACAAAATCGATTTTCGATGTTTTTTTGACCCTACGGACACACAAGCAAGCAAGCAAACAATTTATGTTTCTAAGACTCTTCTCTACGAGAAAGAGAATAAAATAAAATTTTAACGAATATGAGATGAAACAATAAAAATCTCCCACATATTAATGGATATACAAAATATGCGATATTCCTATGATGATAATAGAAAGAAAGTTCTACTCATCATTTATAAAATCAATGTAGATTAGTTGAAAACCAATATCTCAAGTTCTACTGATTTTTTAAAGTTTATTACTATCAAAAACAAACAATCTCTCGTATGGGATTAAAAATAATATTTCATTTAGCGTATTATGTACTGTAACAAAAAATATTCTTTCAAAATCTTTGTTGTGAATTAAATGATTGTCTGCGTGAGTGACAGTTTACGTTAGACAACATAATTCTTTAATATAACAAAAGATAAAATTCTTATCATTGCTTGTATTATTTGTATAACACTAGAAGAAAGACTTTTATTGATATTGAATAAAATCAATTAAAAAACAAAAAAGAATGTATTATTTATAGTTAAATTCAACAAAATGGATATATTGGCGGAATTGATAGAAATAATTATTTAGCAACACCATTTTATATAACAAGTGATCGTCGAAATGCTATGGGAATAGGTTTTGTTTTTGAAGCTAGTCTTTATACAAAAAAAGATCTTTCACATTGGATACTCAATGGTGTTTGTTTACTATTAAATATAGATTCATAATATTTAATCAAATTAAACTCATTAGAATTTCATTTTAATGTTATTGATAAAAAAAACAAGCATTGAATGTTTATAATTTCTCTATTTTGGTTTAGTTTATCAGATTTTTGTCTTCCAATATTGGGCAAGGATCAAAAAAAGAAAAACATAGTGTGCAACCATCGTGGTTATTCATCTGAGTCCTACCTCCAGATCTTCCAAGACTGATTTTAATAGGGTTCATCATTGCGCGCAGGGTCTGATATTTTGGACAGCTGTAGTCATTGTTCGTGATTCCGGAGAGCACTTCTGTCATCTTACATACAGATCCATTTATGACACTTACTCATCGATCATGAGCACGTCTTCAACACTTCACAGTTCATATATAATCTTTTCATGTAAGTAAAACAATGCATAATAATAGTTATGTTAATATTAAAATATAGACATTTAAAATTTCATTCTGTTAATACTGACACAGTTGCATCACTTGTCACTTAAACTTGAAGTTATGATGATATGAAAGAATTTTATTTTGTTTATTAGAAAATATAGCAAAAGATTTTTATTATCTAATCATAGAAGTCGATACTTTAAGACTATTTATCAAGAAGTGAAGTAGTGTCATTTATTATTCAATAAAAGTCGAAGAATAAGTTTTTGATTCGTAAAAAGATCATCTAGTTTGAACAAACTTCTGTTATGAATTCAATAAAACAACGGCTTATATCAACCAGTAACTTGAATTATATTACTGCTCAATGACATGACTTTCAGATTTAGTCTAATAATCAATAATCTAATATATATATGAAAAGAAGAAAGATAATCGTAAAGAATGTAGATTATGTTAATATGATAAATCTTACATATGGCTTGTAATATATAGTATTAAGATATTTAGTCAAAGAAAACAAGAACAAATAAATTTGAAGGTTATTTAAAGATAATATAATCAAGAGAATGGATTTTCCCTATTCTCTCATAGAATCAATCAATGAATACAATATATCCCTAAGGAAATGCATAATTTATTTTCTTTATTTCTCCTTCAATCACACCTTGCGACGTTCTTGTTTGTCAATGAGTACCCTTGATTTAATTGTGTATAGTCTAAGACTCTATACACCATAGATCGTATATATATATATATATATATATAATCAATTGGCTCCAATACACTTATCTTTATTACAAACATGTTCATTTTTGACTTCTATCGATTTTTGATTTAATATGAAAAGAAATATGCTTGAGACATGTTCAAGTTTGTTGTTTCTTTTATATTTGGGCGGATATGTGAGTGATTGTACATGAGTAACTTTAATACTCTTTCAACAACATCACATTAAATACTTATGTAAGCAACGTATCAAATGAATATCGTATGTTGTGAATTTTAAATAAGCTGTCTTCAAAATATATATGTATGCTTCTGATAACATCTTATTCTGCTTCCAGTTATATGTGTGTAAAGGAAGAAAGTATTGATCTGTTTAATTATAATAATCACGAAGAAAACTGTCAATACACACACTCATTTCTTCGCTCTCTTTTTTTTCTCTTCGTCTTTTTTTCTTTCTCTCTCTGTATATATGTCCGGTGTGAAGCTGTCACTGCCATTGAGCGCGAGTCGATGATGATGATTGAACAATAAAAAACAAAATTATGTAATAGTGTTAAATGTGTAATAGTCAGTCATAAGCATCTATATACATATATATATATATGTGTATGTATATATATATATATATATACATTTGAATCTAATTCAGCATGTGATCGAGACGAATTGAAGCGCAAATCAACGAATATACTTCGAACAGTTGAAGATAACCGCCGCTAATTATGACATCGCCAGATATGGTTATTATGCAAAAAAAGGATGTGTTATTAATTGCATGATTCCATTCATTTAGAACCGATGTTGGAAAAAGGTAGTAATGTTTTTTTCTTTTACATATCAGATGAAGAAAACATACAGATCAATCGAT